AGGCAAAGCTGTAATGAAACTGTGAGCTGGCTGTGTTCCTCCACGTTTCTTTGCAGCACCAAGCAAGACTGCAGCCCACCAGGCACCGCTGTCATCCCACAGAGCGGAGGTTCTTCTGCAGGCCCAGATGTGGCCGAGGGGCATAGGGAGCACCGCCAGACCTTCCCGGTCCTCCGTCACTGAAGGGCCAGAGAGACATACAGCAGGGAGCAGCTTTTCTATTCTTTAGGAATGATTATAATAGAGGAGTAAATGTTTTCTTCCCGAATGCCTCCCTTGTCTTCTTAAAACCTATAGCCACTGTATTAGTTTCCTATTGCTGCTGTAACAAGTTACCACAACATAGTGGCTGAAAAAAAATACAAGTTTATTATATTACAGTATTGGCGGTCAGCAGTATTAAACTCAGGTGGCGGCAGGCCTGTGGTCCCTCTGAAGGCACTAGGAGAGAATGGGCACCTGTTTTCCAGCTTCTGAGGCTGCCCACATGCCACGCCTGTGGTTCTCCACCTTCGAAGCCAGCAGCAGAATACGTTCAAATCAACCTCTTTGTCTCTGCGTATAACCTTTGCTTTTGTTATCAGATTCCCTTTTCAGACTCTGACCCTCTTGCCTTCCTCTTACAAGGACTCTCATGATTACCCTGCGCCTGCCAACGTAATTATCTCATCTCTAGGTCCCTACCTTAATAATATCTGTGAAGGCATTCTTGCCATCTAATCGGGGGATTAGAATATGAACATCTTTGGGGAGGGGCGTGTTATTCTACCTCAACCATTAATTTGATTACTTTTTAAAATGTAGTTTTATCATGTATGAAATTGGGTTTAGTATATTATCTCCTGGAAGTATAGTGAGTCAATGAAATAACCTGAATTAAGCAATATAGCAAAGCTCTTGCGCAATGGCTGTTAGAAGACCGACTCTTTGAAAGAGCTCTTAATTCAGAGGTGCAAATCCTAGATTCTGCTGCCACTGCCGCCTGTGACCTGAACAGGCTGCTTTGCCTTGTTGGCCTCAATTTCCTCATCTCTGGGGAGTTGCTTGTGTTTTCTTAGCAGCCTGTGAGAACTGGCGGAAATGACTCGTTTCCAAAAGAGACCATCTACAAAAGAAAGGACTTACAACCTCTCCACAGCCTTGCCCAATTACAGAAATATCAAGGTGGGTGTTTCACGTGGGTCTACACATCAACTCTCTCAAGTCTTTCAACTCTGGGCCCTTTTGGTTTACCCCAGTCCAGCAAAGAAAACAGTGTGAAAGATAGGATATAGGAGATATAAGACAACTATGATTGGGAACGGGTCCTAAAAAGCAAATAGCTTCATGGACATTGCAAATAACTTGAAGCTTTCCACGTCATGGGAAACGTGATAGGCAGTTCTACCTGCCTTCTGGAATGGCAGGCAGGAGTGAAACCACTATTCACAGTCATTATTCCTTTATCTTAAGGTGCTACTTCACTGAGTCAATCTCTCTCCTGTAAATGCCTCTCAAGTTTCATTGGTCCACATTTTATCTAAAAGCATTCATGGGTTGCATCTCTCTCTTCAGTATTTTCTCTACATCACTGTGTTTAATGATTGTATCTTTATTTAAATAATTTATATCCTTAATAGAATTACAGCCTTAATAGTGGCAGTTTACATGAAAATGTAAAAAAAAAAAAAAAATTGATGCTATCAAAAGAGAAGTAACAAGTGAAGTAGGGGTAGTAGTAAGGCCGAAAAACACCAATTCTCTGAAATAAAGGCAGAGGGACCTGTTGCATCTCTGTAAAAACCTGAACTCTGTGCTTCCAGGCAGCACAAATAGGTAAAAGAAATAAATTACACAGCACTTTGCCAGAAGAGACAAATCTTTTTCTAAGTCTGAACTCTAACCTAGTTCTGCATCTCATAGAAGCCATTGAACAGAATGGACAGTGGAAAGGGCAATTAACAGTTTTTTTAAATGAAAGTGGGTTGCTTTATAACAACAGTAATGATAGTGGAGGTGGTGGTAATGTTTTGGACAGAGAAATCCTTTCCCCATTGCTGAGTTTTCCATGAGAAGGGATAAGCAAGCCTAACCTGTCCTTAGTGAAGTTGGAGATGATGTCATTGCTTAGTGAGGTAAGGATATTATAAGGGTGGTGGGGGGTAGAGATGAGGAAGGTGGGTCAACTGAGGCAGAAGTCTATTTCTTATATAAAAGAGGTCCAGAGGCAGGCAGATCAAATTTTGTTTCGTTTCTCCAAGTCATGAGGAACCCTGGATCACTGCATTTGGGTTGCATCATCCTAGTTTACGGCTGTTTGCCTTCACAATTCAAAATAGCCGCTTGCTCTCTATCCATCATCACAGCCACATGCACTGGCCAGGAAGAGAGGAAAAGCAGAACGTGGAGGGGAGAGGGGACGGCTCCAGCTGCGTTGTCTTTTTAAGCGATCTTCTGGAAGTATCACATAAAACTGACTTTCCCATATTTCTCTAAATCTCTATTGGTTACACCTATTCCAAAAAAAGAGGCTGGGAAATGTAGTGTTTTTAATCCTCAGGCTGACCAGAGGAAAGTTAGGGTTCTCTTCCTAAGAAAGAAGAGATGATATTGATGTAGGTTAAATCTCCGCCCCCAACACACAGTGAAGTTTGTGGTAAGATTATTCCACTTTTGTCACTTTTTCTAGCAAGAATGCTTACCAGAAAGTGTTTGGCCAGGGCTATGGGATAGAGTGGCTGTTACCAATAAGGAACATTCCAGAATATATTGCAATACATTGCAATGATCAAAATATCATGCAATTCCAAAATATAAGCAAAAATACTGCTGAAATCCTGATACTAAGGTCTACCTAATGGACTGAGAAAGAACAGTGTGTACTCAGGGGGTGGAGATCAGTGAGGGTGAAGAGCTAGTTGAACAAAGGAGAAAGGATTGGGAAAGTAGAAAAAGAGGCTGTGATTAGAAGAGGGAATTTCAAGTTGGCAGAAGGCAGGCAGTTGCCAATGCTCAGTCTGAGGTGTGGCTATACTTCGCTGGCATGGAAAACAGGTTATTATCATTGACATACAGGAGCTTTCAGAAACAAGGTCATTGAAACGGATGATGTCAGGAGATCAAAGTGGAAAGGACCATTGAACTGGAGGCTGAAAACCCAGATATCATCAAATCAGCAGGAGACGGAGGGAGGAGGATCAGTATCAGTGCACAGATTTACCTCCAACTGAGAAGAGGTTTATCAGGGCAATAATAAGGGCAGGTATTTATTGCTCTGTGACAATCCACATAACATTTTTTAACTTAAAAATGATTACTTTTTTAATCCCTGTCCACTCACCCCTCCCCTTTGGTAACCATCAGCTTTTTCTCTATGGGTCTGTTTTTTTTTTTTATTGATTTGTTTTCTGAGATTCCTCATATAAGTGGTATTGTATAATATTTCTTTCTCTGATTTCACTTAGCATAATGCCCTCTAGGTCCATCCATGCTGCAAATAGCAGATTTCTCTCCTTTTTATTGCTTAATAATATTCCATTGTATATTATGTACCACATCTTTATCCACTCATGTATTGATGGACATCTAGGTTGTTTCCATGTCTTGTCTATGATTCCTAGTAATGTTACAGTGAGTGTAAGGGTGCATTTAACTTTTCACATTAGTGTTTTTGTTTTCTTTGGATACTCAGGAGGTAGGATCATTGGATCATATGGAGCTCTATTTTTAATTTTTTGAGGCATCTCCATAGTTTGCCATAGTGACTGTACTAATTTACAATTCCACTAAGTGTATGAGGATCCCCCTTTTCCCAACATCCTCACCAGCCCTTGTTTGTTGATTGATGATGACAGCCATTCTTTCAGGTGTGAGGTGATAACTCATTGTGGTTTTAATTTGCATTTCCTGAGAATGAGTGACATTGAGCATCTTTTTATATGTCTGTTCGCCATCTGTCCTCTTGGGAGAAAGGTCTATTGAGGTCCTTTGCCCATTTTTCAATTGGGTTGTTTCTGTTGTTGTGTTGTATGAGTTCTTATGTATTTTGGAAATTAACCCCTTAACAAATGTATCATTTGCAAATATCATCTCCCATTCAGTAGGTTGTCTTCTCATTTTGTTGATGGTTTCCTTCTCTGTGAAAAAACTTAAAAGTTACATTTATTTTTTTATTTTGTTTCCATTGTACAAGGAAATATATCCAAAACAATATTTCTAAAAGCAACATCAAAGAATTTACTGTCATTTTCTTCTAGAAGTTTTATAGTTTCAGGTCTAACATTTAAGTCTTTAATCTATTAATGTGTTTATTTTTGTATATGGTATAAGAAGGTGGTCCGATTTCCTTTTTCTTTTCTTTTCTGCATTTATCTGTCCCGTTTTGGTAACACCACTTTTTCAAAAAAAAGTCCTTACTCCATTGCATATCCCAGCCTCCTTTGTCATTGATTAATTGACCATGAAAGCAGGGATTTATTTCTGGGCTCTCTAGTCTATTCCATTGATCTCTATATATGTTTTTAGGCCAGTACCAAACTGTTTTAATTATGGTAACTTTGTAGTATAGTTTGACATCAGGGTTTGTGACACCTCCTAATTTGTTCTTTCTCAAGATTGCTTTGACTATTTGGGATTTAGCATTTATGAATTTGACACCCAAGGGCTTAATGTTCCATTTATATGTTAGAGAGTGTAGGTGGTAGGTAGTACTTTCTAATCTAAGCACAAAATATAACATGGGTTAGGGTTAGAATCATCCTTTTCAGAAGCATTTAAATCTATGAAATTACTGGAAGTACTTTTTTTATATTCAGATAAAAGCCAATATACCCATGGGCACAACTCTGTAAGAAATGTATAAACTACTGACTTAACATATCCTTAAATATTATAGATTGCCTTTGTTAAATAGTTATTATACTACACTATAAATACTAATGTCCTTTATATGAACCACAAATAATTTACATTAAAACATATTAATATTTGATTATTTTATTACCATATATTACTGTATACAATTTTGTTTGATAACAGTAGGATATTATAAATTGTATTTTGAACAAAAATGTATGCATGGCATATGTAAAGCAGTAACATTTCAAAGGAAAGAGAAAAGCCATAAAAACATTTACCTAAAATTTAGTAATACTGAAAAACACTAGGTTTGTGCATAGTAGTGATTGAAAGCTTTATAATACATCAGAACCCCAGTACATTTTCAGGTACTGTGAGGACTACCTGGGATAGGAAGAGCTTAAATTAGACAGATCCAGGTCCTTAGAAGTGCACACCATCTAAAAATAAATCCCTCCACTTAGCAGTACACAAAGCTTTCTCTCTCTGTTTTGGTACATTCAGCAATGCAGACAAAGGTGTATTTGGTTTAATGTGATTTTATTATTCTTAGATAAGCTTTAGTTATTTTATATAGATAAAAATATACAATATTGCTTTATTTTTTAAAATTTTATAAGTCTATGATTGTCATCATATTCACAATTTAAAAGCCTATTTCCTACTAAATAAATAATCCATCCAGTGACATGGGGGAAGACTAACAAAAATTGTTTATAGGAAGACTTTAATTAAAGTTTAAATGTAAAAATAATTCATCTAGACTATGGGTCTAAATCTTCAGTGATACCTCATGCTGGAAACAAACCATGAAATGTTTTAGGCAGATTTGTTGTTTTTAACATATACAATTGATTTTACAGATTCAAAATTTTGACTGAAAATGCAGAGAACTGACATACATGTTATCTGAAGACATGTTTATGTGCAGTAACTCATTAAAAAAAAAGAAAAATATATTTTAACACATCTCCATTTTGGATTCCATCATGTTTTTGTATATAATACATGCAAAATATGTCTGATGCCCTTCAGACGTCACAGTTGAATAAAAGATTGGCAGATGGTGGCACTTCTTTTAAATCACCTGAGGACGGTAGTTAGTAGGGTGATTAATTTGCTTTACTGATAATTATAATAAAAGTAATTCTATCATAGAAACAACCTAATGTTTGAAATTAATAAAATTGCACCATTGTCTTTTTCTTAACACCAACTTAAAAGCAGTTGTATTTGCTATTTGATTTCTTAAGACTGATAAAATATGGACTATTTTTAAAATGAAAAAGTCAAAATATTTTACAAATAATTGTTCATTATAAAGCATACAATGCACCATTCGTTTCACTCTAACAATACTTGCACCAAACACTGCTATATTCAATCTTAACAATTCTCAAATATGAGAAAAAGTTTCTTTCCACTGTGCTAAGTGAAATTTATAAAGTCGAGATACTATTATCTTAAAGGATTACAGATCTAAAACATTTTTAAAAAAATTTTACACATTGAAATGGGTGCTTTGCTTTAATTTAATGAATTGCCCAGAAACGAAACTCCTTTTCATTGCAGATTATTAACACGGTTGCCTTTATAATAGATTTTTTCATATTGCAACATTTACCTGCTATGGAGGTTTTAGCAGAGGTAAATGGTGGTGTATCTCTTTCTTCAGAAAATGCTGTTGAAATTTTAGTGCTGCTGTCTTAATATTTATATAGTAATAAAGAAATAATTTGAAAAGACATTTTACTTTCAAATTTTTTTTAAAATAAGGCACATAGCAACATTTAAAATCTAGAAACAACTGGATTATATAATAATCTTTCAATCATTGTTTTTGTTTTTTTACCTGAAGAAAGTAGGTGAGTAGAGCAGTTAAAACATGCCTGGATTAATACAAATGACTGAATTTAAGAAATGCAAATAATATTTGTGTGTAGAATGTTAATTTTTTTAAAAGCATGTTTTATATAAAGTATATACCCTACAGTGTTATAAGAAGGAAAAATGTTAGGCACTTACATTTAAAAATGAAGAAGGAAATCATTGAGATTATCTTTCTATAAAAGCACCAAACTGGCCTGGCTGGGTCACTCAGTTGATTGGAGCACTGTCCCGTACACCAAAAAGTTGCAGGTTCAAATCCCAGTCAGGGCACATACCTAGATGAGGGGTTCCATCCCCAGGGCATGTGTGGGAGGCAACCAACTGTCCTTTCTCTGAGATCAGTAAATATATCCTCAGGTGAGGATTAAAAATAATAACAATGCCAAACCACTTGTATTAGCATCTGAGAAACACAGAATCTAAAAATATGGGCAATAGTTTAGTTTGGTAACTGTACTTGCAGAATTAAGGAGTCAGAGGTTGAAAACTCAAAGCATTTCTTTTTTATTCTGACAAATAATTCCAATAGAGAAAGTTTTCTTAAAGTGCCCCTGAAAAAATTTTTAGTTTGTTGATGCTCAGAATGTGAAATGTAGATGGTATCTCTCACTAGTATGTGGCAGAACACTTTCTATTTGAATGACAGTAGTATATCTAATTTTAATGTTTTTAACTTTGAAAAACACAAAAATGTGGCTTGGTATTAACAGTGGGAACAACATACATCAATGCCTCCATGTGAACTTGCTGATGTCCAACACTCACAGTTTCAGTAGCTGTAACCTTCCGCAAACTAGTCTAAACCAAAAACCAAGGTAAAAACTGAGCATGGAATTACAGGAATCTATTAGATGTCAAATCAGCAAAAGGTCTGGCTTCTGATAGATGATGAAGGGACTGAAGATGTGTGGTAGGCTGAGTGTTATTTATAGCATTTAATTCAGCTGGATAGATTTCATTTAAAACTCCATTCTGAAACTGAAAACAAAAATAGCAATGCAATTATTAGAATGGATCTTCAAGTATCTTAACCCATTAAATATTATATTAAAACATTTTTAAAATCTTCACCTTACATGATGTTAATCTTCAAATTACTTTATTGCTGCTAAATTTTAAATCATTCAGTGAAAACATATTGAGCATGTATAAGCACGTTTACAACCTTTTGGTTTTTCTAATGGGTGATACAGATGGGTAATAAACTGTTTCGCTTCAAATCTGGCATTCCACGTATCAGCAGAGTACTCAATCAACACACTTTCAGGTTGGGATAACAAATGATGAATCAAAGAGTAGCGGTCGTAAAGCATAATTATACAGGGCGGGGCAAAAGTGGGTTTATAGCTGTGAGTGCACGGTACACAGAGTGCATTCTTGTACTGATTTCCACATGAGCAACTGTAAATCTGCTTTTGCTTCTCCCTGTGTATTCTCTGTAACAAGTGTGCTTTGACCAGATTTCGTCTCAGTCTAATTCTGGGGACCAGGGAATTTATCACATTTGAGATTACTGCACTGGAACTGCAGATGACCTAAGACTTACCCAAAAGAGGCTAGTCCTGATTTGTTAGAGGTTTCCTACTATTCCTAAAATATTAAACCTTGGGTATGGTCTGATTTCCTAAACCATTTTCTTATTTATACTGTGCTTTTAATTAGTAAGTACCACTACAATTACTGTCCTAATTACAGAATCAAGTTATTAAAATAAAATGCTCTTTCTTGCCATCTTACAATGAAATCAGTCTGTTTTTATAATTGCTACTGAGGAGGGGAAAAGGAAGGACGCAGGGAGTTCTGTAGGGTCTTATAGATTACACAGCCTTTGTAGATGGTATAGACAGTATATGGTTAGTGAGAGTTGTAGAAACTCTCACACAGATTCAAATCATATCCTTAATGCCTTCAAATAAAATCTACCCTTCCAAAGGCTATGAAGCAGTGGTTTCAGTGCTCAAAATGTTGATTACATCAAAGATCTTCCAAAACATATATTAAATATATAGTAATCTAGATCCTCAATGAATGGCCACTCTGTCGAGTCTTTAAATGGAAGGTAATATTATTTGCCCAGAGAATGTTTGGTCTTAAATAAAGTACTCTCATCAGTCATAACATATGCCAGCAATTCTCTTTATATTGTCTAGAGCAGTGCTGTTCAATAGAAATATGTGAGCCACATATGTAATTTTAATACATTTCACTTAACTGAATATAGCCAAAATTTATCATTTCAATATAAAAATCAATAAAAAAGGTATTTTACTTTTTCCCCCCAATTCAATCTCCAAAATATCTCATCTGGGACTAGCCACATACAGAGGCGGGAGAGTTACAAGTCTACAGAATTCTTATTATTTATGAAGAAGTTTCACAAAATAGGGAAGGGGGATCACTGTAAAGAACTCATGAGATAAATGAGAGCCCTGTTCAAGATGTAAGAGTACACAAATGAGTTCTCTACAATAGACTCAAGAGTACGTAAGAGTTAAGGTACCTACCCATGCTTAACTTCACAGCAGTGCTGTGAAATAGCCTATAACTGAATATTAAATTTTAATATAAAGTATGCCAGGAATGAGAATAAGAAAAGCCTTCTATGACCTTTTCTTTTCTGCCATTTTCTATTAGAAAGCTCATATGTAATCGGACCAGATCAAATGAGGAAAAAAAAACCCCAAAACCAGAAAAAGCAATTAGGGGATAAAGATTCAGGTAACACTGTTAATATCACTATACGCCAACACACAGTACAAAGGAACCAACGAACCTAATTTTAGTCAGGATTTTCTTCAAAAGTAAACTTTTAAATACATTTTAAAACAAACTGTTTTCTAATGGAAAGCATAAATACAAAGATGCTCTATATTCCTGGGTGGTCAAAGAGAGCAGATATAATCATGTTTGCTTTTTTTAAAATTATTTTTTTTTAAATTTAAAGTGTGCTTGCTGCTAGAATGGGTTCTGATGACATGTTTGAACCACAGAATTACAGTATCAACCTCAAGTCCCATGAGGAAAAGCCAGCTGAGTTACCCTTTTAAGAAGGTCAGAAAAAGCTATTTCACTTTCAAGGATGAAAGAAGGATGTGGCAGATCAGAGGGAGGGACTGCTGGAGAATACTAAGGAGCCTAGGACTACATTCCAGGAACCGTCTGGGGCACTAGAAAGAAAGAGACCTACACTGTTTTTAACCCAATTTCAACAACATATTAAAACACTGAAAAAATTATTTTTAAAAATTCAAATATATTTTTCAACGTTGAACTTTTAAAAGGCATATAGTTTTAAAGAAGAAAGATAAATCAAAATCTCCATTGTAAAAACTATGCTTTTAACTAATTTTACCTGGTAACTCAAGGACATATTCATTTGCCTTAGCCCTTGATTTCTTTCTCCTTTACAATTCCGCTGAGTATGATATACTTGCATTGGTAACATACTGGAAAAGTACTGACTTATTAAAAAAAAGTCACAGATATAATTAGAAATGTTCTCTGATATAAATACTATAGGAATAGATTAAATCAGTCCTGACATCAACAATGTGTAACTCACGTATTTCAAATAAAGAAGAATCGCCAAAGGGGCGATAAACCCCTTTTACTTAGATAAAACCCTTACCTTGGTTAGAAATGCCTCAGGGACCGGCACTGCTGGGTCGTACTGCATGTGAGCCATGTGGCTTTGCTGAGGTTCCAGCTGACACGGGTACACTGACACAGCCCCAGAATAGCACATCCGTGGAGTTACTAGGCTTGACTGTGGGTTTAGTCCATGCTTTTGGTTTTCAGGAGGTTGTAAACATGTGACAAAATCTTCTAAATTAGTAGTAGTAGGGTATGGGGATGGTTCAAAATTCCCTATGGGAAAGTCTAACTGTGTCCCCTGGGACTGTTGTGGCAGCACAGACTGATTACAGGGAATAAAGTTCTGTGCATAAGGCATAGTCTTAACCTCGGATTTGTAGGGAAACTCTTGATTGGTCCCAGGTAGGTCTGGAAAGACATCATACTGTTGCAGGTCTTGCTGGGGACAACTAAAAGGCACGGGATGGTTAGAGCTCCAATTTGCAAACATGCCATTGACTTGCATGTGCTTCATTTTCTGGCACAGCTGCTGCTGCTGCTGCTGCTCCATGGCAGGGTGCTGTGGATGGGGCGGCGGCGGCTGCTGCATGGCAGGGTGCTGTGGATGGGGCGGCGGCTGCTGCTGCTGCTGCTCCAACTGCAGGTGCTCCTGGACCATACAGCTCGAGCTCAGTGCTGGGGATGGCTGCTGCTGATAACCTGGACACACGAAGGCAGACTTATTTAAAGAATCTTGGACGAATGTAAGGATTTCATCTGTTATGTCGATGTCTCCGAAGTCCTCCTCACCAGATAAATCAGTTCTGGAAAACTCCTCATTCTGCCGCATATGTTTAATATCTTCAAAATCGATACCTAGGTATTTCATAATGCTGTACAAGTCACTATTTTTATTGTCTGGGAAGAGCCCTGCTTGACCTTCAGAGAGTGTCATGTCCATGTCCTGAGACTGAGCAACTTGCTCACGTTTCAGAATATCATTTCCCAGTGGGGCAATACTGTCTTGCCAACTGCTGCATTCGTTCAGAGGTTCATTGAAAATATCCCTGTTGAAAGATGTAGTACTTGCAGCATGAGAGAGATAAATAGACTCATCTTGTTGAATAAGGGCACTCCAGAGAGAATCCTTCTGTGGAACTGATTTCGTAACAGAATCTCTTCCACTAGCACTGTTTTTGGTCCTTATTGGCAAGGGATCCATCATGGGAGGAAAGGGGTTGCTTATCTCATACAACACAGCTTCTCCAGTGGTGAACATAAAAGGCAGCTTCATATTTCGCTTTCTTAGATGCTCTGTTCCTTCTTCTTCTCTAAAATCACAAAAACATTATTTTGACATATTTCTGATGACTGGTGCCATAAAATTGTTTTTAGACAAATTAAAAAGATTTAGAATTTGTCCCCAAACAGCACAGTCACTAATTCCACACTCAGGTTATGCCCCTACCTGACATTCTGCCAAAAAAAAAAAAAATATATATATATATATATATATATAGCACCTAGGAATGTAGGAATATGGGTAGGAGAGGCATCTCTAAAAAAAAAGGCAAAACCCAGAAGCTGTAAAGATTGGCATAATTCACATTATGAAAGTTGTATGTGTATATATACACACATCATTTAACACAGCATTACAAAACATCAAATACCTAGAAATAAAATTAATAAAAGATGTACAATAGTCATGTAAGAAAAACACAATTAACTGCTGACATAAAAGACATAGGTAAATACATAACCATGTACCCCTAACTATATGTGCATACAAATATTCACCATGTTCACAGGTTGGAATAGTAAGTATTATAAAGTTGTTAATTCTCACAAAATGAGTTATAGTTTCAGTGTAATCCCATATACAGATTTGAGATCTTGGGATTAGAGAGTAATCCCTTTAGGGATATCTAACCTGTGGACTGCATGTGGCCCAAGATGGCTATGAATGCAGCCCAACACAAAATGTTAAATTTACTTAAAACACTGAGATTTTGTGTGTGTGTGATTACGTGCTGTAATGTCACAAATTCACCATGGCCTAAGACAACCCTTTTTCCAGTGTGGCCCAGAGACACCAAAAGGTTGGACACTCTAATTTTCTGGTGGGAACTGACAACTGATTTCTAAACTGTACATGAAAATATAAAGGGGTGAATAAGAGCCAAGGCAATCTTGATAAAGAACAACAAAAAACCCTAAGTAAAATGGAGGATATACACTCATATCAAGACTTATTATAGAATAATTAAAACAATGTGTTAGTGCAAAAACAGACGACTAGACCAATGGAGCATAACAGAGACCTGAGACAGAACCACAGACACCTCATCTGATCAAAAGGCAGTGCAGTGGAGAAAAGGTGGCCTTTTCAGTAAGTTATCTTTCAATAAATGTTACTGGTCAATTGACTATACATAGCCAACTTTTTGTAAGTTGGTAAAATAGACAAACTTCATTTTAATTTAAAAATGCACTCTAATCCATTAATATACTCACCATGTATGATCTGGGATGTTTATGATTATCCCTGCAAAAATTTCCTACTACATCCTAAAACATAATCAGAAAACTAAAACTTTATGTCACTATAAATTATGGCTAGGGGCATTTCTTCCTAAATATTGAAGGACTTTAAATAAATATAAGGGGAAAAACAGATTTTGATCCTTGCTCAAGCCATATACAAAAATCAGTTCTCTACAGAAAATTTCCAAGGCAAATGTTTGACAGAATAATCATTCCAGAATATATAAGCAACTTAAAAATCACTTCTTGCTTAGAAAACATATGCTAAGCAAATCATTGTTATATTCTTATTTTAAAGAAGGCACTAGCTTTTTTCTCTCCTGTGTATGCCCAGGATAAAACCCTAAAGTTTCCTTCAATTGTTCTCCTCCCATGATTCCACATATTTAGTTGTTCAGTAAAGTTTGTCAATTCTAATTCACTGACATCTTCTTTCTATATTTCTTCTTTTAATTTTTTCATTTTTATTTGCAGAGTAAATTCCCTTAGAATTTATTTTTAAGTTTTCAAGTATAAAGCAATGTAAGACAAAGTGTTATTAAGATAAAAAACAGTAACAACAAACATTCTGAGTCTTTGTGCTTACGTTAGCGGTCTCTGAGTTGCAATGATATAATCCGGTCTCCCATTTTTGTAAACCAAGCGTGCGTTAGACTGGACCCAGGTCCAATGATTGTCTTTGGTAAGAAGCCTGAACACTACCATGCCACTCTCGCCAGTCTTAATCACTAAAAAAAATAAAAATAAAAATAAAACTCAAAATCAACATAGTAAAGAAAATGATAGAGAAGATAGTTTTAGGAGGGAAAAAATGGTTTTAATTTTAAAAAGGGAATGTTTCCCACAGCTTGATATTTTCTAATTTTAAAATATAATCTATATTGATACAAATTTATGAATAATACCATCAAAAAACTCCTTAGCAAAACATGGTACAAAATGATCATTTTCATTGTTATTAAACTTCTGCATGTGGCAGCTGTAGCGCAGTTAAAGAGCGTAACTCAGGTTTATCATAATGGTATGGCACTGAGTAGATCACTGAAACAGCCTCCTTAAACACACTACATTATGTTATGCTCTGAAACAAGTGCTGGAGCATGCGCCTTTTGTCACAGGCACATTCCCCAAGAACTTACTCCGGATGTGGTACTCAGCACAGTAAAGCATATCAGCAGCATGAATAAACTGATACCCGGATCCTCTCATGCACAGCTCTGCTTCAGTATAGCCTAAAACAAGTTTTCCTCTGTTAAAAAAAAAAAAAGAAAAGAAATTAAAATTTAACATAAATGAAGTAACCATCATAAATTCATTAGCTGTATGTTATTTTTTTTTTTGCAACGGGTTTTACTTGACATTCAGTATTTTACATTAACAGGTAGAAAAATTAACCAAATCCATGTAACTGCTCCCTTTTGCTTATGGCTGCACATTTCAGTTTTAGACTATTTTCTCCTCCTGAATAAAGACCATGGAAGTTAATATGGCTAAAGATAAATCTAACAGAGTAGATTATGTAGGAACACAAAAATCTTTAATAAAAATCTAGAATGCTTGTCCTCCATCTATGACAGGCAGGATTTTTCAAACCTCTCTGTGTTTCCATATTAGAAAGGAGAAAAAACAATGATTTGTTATAATATGAATGCTTAATATAATTCTCCATAATTCCCTGGAAGTTACTAAATTTCTAGGGCAAAAAGTCAAATAAAATTTGTACAATTCAAAAAATATAAAACAATCTTACTAATTAAGCACATCATGTTTATGAATTAGAAACTGGGGCAAGTATTGCAAAAAATTATAAGATGATTTGTGAGCCTGATAAATTATCTTAAAAGGAAGACTATACTGATAGAGTATAAAGTAATAATATATAATATTATAATCTACACTATATATTTTACATGCTAAGAGGGACTTACTGCATTGTACAATAAATGCATTTGATGAAATAAAATTGAAAAAGTTTTACTTACTTGGCATCACAACCAGTAGGTGTAAAGTCTAGTTTGTGTTTTGTTCTAAAGATGAAATTTTTGGTTCGGATTTCAAGTATAGACGGTGGCTGAAGTGGAGTAGCTACCGCAAACAAAGCTAGCTGAGGGGGAAGTATTGATCCATCTTTCCCTTTCTTGTTCTGGCCATGAAGATACTTTAACCTCCCTTGGAAATTCATTGCCTTAAAAACATAAAAACAGTTCATTAAAATTAGGTTTAGAATCATTCCTTTTCAAAAGGCTTAGTCATGGCCACAGCCAGCATTCTTGAGTCTGAAAACTGCTTTCATTCCTTTTGCCACAGGAAGCCCATTCAAACGATCCCAAAACAGTATGAAGACCATACTAAAAGGGATAAGTGAAACACCCCTGGCTTTTTAGTGGTCACAGCAAGAACACCTCTACCATTTTCTCAGTTTGCAAGTGCCCCCTCATCGACACCTAGCACAGCTCCTTGCAAACTGCACTCAATATATATTCCCCAACTGAATGAACAGTGATGAAGTCATCGAGTACACATTAATTTTCCAACATACATGAGCTATATTCCACAGCTCATAGTGTATGTCATAGCTCACAATAATCTTTCATATAGAGATAAAATACAATTTTATTAAAACATTAAAATGACTCATCATGAAATCACAAAGAATGAAGAGCTCTATTAAAGATAAAGAATAATTTTAGAAGACAGAGGAAACACAATTTAAGCATAAACATCATTGATTAGTTTAGTTGTTTAAAACAGTAATAACTAGACCAAGGGATAATCTATCAGTATGATAACAGCACAAGAAAGAAAAGACCCAGTTACACTCAGACTCCATCTTAGAAAATACATACTAATTGATCAGCAGTACTGAAGAAAACTATCTTTAAGCAATTCTAACTCTGGGTCAGCAAAATTATCTTCAGAGATAAACACACAAGCAAAGATCATTGTTTGCTAATGTTTAAGATTTGATTTTCTGTTTCAAATTCCTCATAATTCACAAAAGTAATATACAACATGCCTTGTGGTCTCTTTCTCCTGTGCTGGTGGAGTGTGTTATCTTTTTGCGGGGATGGTGGCGTACACTCTGGGATAGTGATGCTATTTTTATTTTCTAAATAAAAAACAGGGCAAGGTTTGACAAAGATTTGTATGCCTCTTTCAGGCATGACAGGCGGCCGAAGACGCTGAATGCAGCATTTTGAGGAAGAGCCCTAAGACGAACGGGACAAGACCTTTTAAGAACAAAGGGTTCAATGATCCTCTCCTCTAGGGATCACAGTATATGTATAACATGCCCCTTTCATAAAGGCTCTGAAAAGCCCTGCAATAAGAAAATCCACTTAAATTTGACAACTAATTGTCTCCCACACTTATCTGAGCACTTTTTTTGTGGGAGGAGGGCAGAGGGGTTGTGCTATCTTAAGGCGACAGAGGATGGAGAGGACAGACCATCTGCACCCTCAGTCTCCTGCCTAAACTGCTCCATGGTTATCCTATCCAGGTGTTCTGACCACGCAACAGCATCTCCTCCCACACAGTGATTCTGCAATCATGGATGTACAACCATTTTTCTACATGGCAGTTATTCTAGCCACGTGGAAGAGGCCAGGATATCTGCCCCGTCTAGCAGGCATTACCTCCAAAGAAGGCAAGCATTCTTTTACTAAAGAAGGGCTACACAGTTCTCTATCATATGCCTTAGAAAGCCCTAAAAATAGGCAAAAGACAAGGTTCTGTGTTATTTCCCTCACTCTTTGTGAGTGCCTCCTAAAGGATAGGGTTTGGGAAAGGATAGTTACAGAAAAGATTCAAAAATCAGAAATAATATGTTAGAAGTTACTTTCCTTATCACATTATCTGATGAAGTAGATTTTTAAAACTGAACTCAAATATAACCAAAGGATACTGGTTTCATTTACTGTTTTATTTCTCTAAATTAATAGCATAGGTCAGAATTATAAGAGTTTGCACCTTACCAGAAAACCAGATGAGTTATCCAGCAGACACCTCAGTCGGCATATGAAGCACCTCTCCATAAACAAGGAGTTTTCCGGGGGAAGCTGGTCTGAGTTCGGGTAGGCAGCCGGCTGTGGGAGGCCATTGGCTTCTGTAGAAACAACAGCAACGCAAATTTACTGTCCCTTTTGCAATAAAGTTCACTGTTTGGAGAGTTGAAATTTGTGTTAATTTCTAAAGTGGAGTCTCTATTCAAGAAACAAAAAGATAATGATTTTCAGAGGCAGAGCTAATGAAAAGAAACTAAAACTTACTGCATTATCATTTGTACCTCACAGAGCTGTACCTTTTCAATTTTGCTTTTATTTCCATTAACCTGTACTGTCAACAATTTCCACATTTTTAATGCCACCTTTTTTTTCTTTTTAGTACTTCCACAAACTTCTAAAAACATGTTTGCATTGAGAAAAGTTTTTTTTTTTAATACGTGGTTATGCTAGCTTGCTTTTTTATTTTATGCCTTTTAAACTCAGAACAATTTACACACACTCCAGTATCAACCTTGCACACTCCTTCCCATCTTTCACAATAGTACAACATGAATAATTTTATAAAATATATTAATATGGCAACATTTTCTTGCTTGATATTCATCAATGGTTGTCACAATATTCCTTAGATTTAGTCGTTTTTGATTAATATCAAATAAAATCATTTTTGGAAGGAAAAGCAATATTTTTTAGTTCATCAGCCTCTTTGTGACCTTCAGCTACAGACACATGGCATTCCACTACTGTCCTGCCTTCACCAAGGAGTTCTATGCCCCTACGGGTTCTCTGCCTCCTTTCGCAGAATTATATTAAAAAACACGAAAGCTATCTTTTTTAAAAATTTATTTTTGACTTAGAGAAACACTGCTATTCTGTTCCACTTACTTATGCACCCATTGGTTGATTCTTGCACATGCCCTGACCGGGGATCGAACCTGCAAACTTGTTCTATCAGGATGATGCTCTAACCAACTGAGTTTCCCGGCCAGGGCCTGGAGCTATATTTTGATAAACAATTCTTACCGTCGATTCTTTGTCCAGAGTCTGCACAAGGTGAAGGGTTTAATGCCCAGTGTAGCTGACGCTGAAATTCAGCTCGGTCTTCAGTATGGATCAGTTCATACACACTCTGATGTATGACATCAGACTAAGGAAAAACAAATTGAAGGGAATAACATGAAAGTACTGATTTAAAGTTAAATATGACTTATTAAAGAAGTTTCAGAACCTACCTATATTAGTACTTGTTAATGGTGATGAATAAATCAAATGTATTGTAAACCTCTCCAGTCATCCAACAGGGGAAAAACTAGAGAGAGACTAGCACTGTAATTGCTAAGCCAAAAGTAATTTGCCACATGAATGTTTTCCAGTCAAATAAGCCAACTCCCCACTCCTTAATTGAACATTGTTATTTTTATCCTTTTTTCATCTTTTAAGTCCTACTTTCTTCACAAAACATTATCTGAACACCCTGTTGACTTCTGTAAGCTTAACAGTGTTCATTATGTATTTTCTTCACTGTTCTCTAACAGTTTTCTTTAGACCAAATTCCTCTAAGTAGACTCCGTAAGTGGAAAGGGCTATGCCTTCACCAGGTCGGAATCCTTCCTCCACCTTTTGTTTCTCAGCATTTATTATAGTGCTGAGCCCTTAACCCCTAAAATCAGCATTTTCCTAACATTTTCTTTACTACAACTCACGGTACTGAACACATTTTTTCATCTGTAACATGTGTGCATATGTACACGTGGAAAAATGTTTCACAAAATACTTGGTAGGATAACATTATATATTCTATTTTATTCCATTCTAAGCAACTGAAAACAATGAATGATATACTGTATCACCATCGTTACCCATTAAGGAGTGTGTGACAACTTGCAATTAAATGGTACCTAAACCACAACCCATGTCAGACACGAATGTTTTCTTAAATAACATCTAGACTAATGTGTACCTATGAGTACACATTACAGACTGGGAAATAGCTAATCTCTGATTTCTTAACTGTTAGGAATCTCATTATCAAATAACTAAGAAACCTAGGCAGTTACGTTTCAAACAGGCCTCTCCGTGGACATTAGTGCATTTTCTTTGTAATTTAAAAAGTCTGAAAACAATTCTACCTCTGGGTCAGCAAAATGCTCTTCAGGAATGCTTTCAGAAACTGGGGTCGGAGCCAGACTCCACTGCTGGAGCTACCCAGAGAAAAGTCTCCCTACAAGCTTGACCTTCGAGCATTAAACCATCTCCACGCGGCCGTTAGCACCATTGCTAGAGCTCCCACCATCTGAAACAGGCTGGAACACACACCTTCTCTTAGCAAACACTGTCAGTGGTTTGCACCGTGTGCAGGTCCATAGCTAATCTTCAGTTTACATAGCAGTATAAACAGTGCTCCTCGCCATCAGCCTTGGCATCACCTGTGAGCTTGTTAGAAGTGAGAATTCATGGGCCCTACTGTGATCTACTGAATCAGAATACCAGGGTTTGGGGCCTAAAGCTACTACAAAATGTTATCAAGTTATTCAGGTGAGTCTTATGCAGGTTAAAATTTAGGAACTTTGATACATAAGTATAGCTACCACTCAGGTGTACTTACCAACTGTGCTCAAATCACATCTTACATGTGTTGCCCTTCGATATACCAAACATCTTACCACTCTACTTATTCACTATTCATTCAATAACACTGAGCAAGCCAGACATGTTCACCTCCTTCAAGGACTTGCAGTCTACTGCTTACAAGTACTTCTGTCTTTTCTTCCCTGTGTTCCCTGCATAACTGTTCATCCGAATCCTATACTTTCTTTAAGTTAGCTAAATACTATTCTCTTCAGGAAAGCTTCTATAATCCTCATAAATTGGAATTAAAGGCATAAACCATGGTATTTTGCTTGAACCTTTACATATCACCTTATTCATTTCATAGTTGTCATGTGTCCACTATGCATACTAATTAGATGGCAAATACCCTCCTGCTTGCCCTCAGTCCTAGTCCTGTCTGCTCCCTGCATGAATGTGTCCTTTATATATGTGCTCCTTAATAAGTGAAAGAAGAAACACAATATGCATAAATCTCATAAACATTTACAGAAATTTTAATGCAGTAAATTATTAATAGTATGAAAACATGTTAGCTGAAAATACATCATTTTTATTCCATAGCATATATTTCAATTGATATTTTTTATATATACAAATTATATCCCTAAAGTATAAGATACATAAAAAGTAGAATGTTAATTTAAAAAAAAAACTTTTTAAGGACCAAAGAAAATCATGTTTACCTGCTGAAATCCCAGATAATCTTGTATAGTAGGAGAAGCATAAAAGACCAAAGCATCTGTAGTGACAACCAACACAAAGCCGTTCAGAGCCTACAAGAAAAGATGCTATAAAATTAGTAATGTGACTAACAATACTGTCACTCATAAATATTGACTTCAATTAAGGCTGTTACTTTTACTGCTAAAAAGTCTCTTAAATGGCTGAAATGATTATAGCTTACACACACACACACACACACACACACACGCGCGCACGTGCGCGCACGCACACGCTTATGTGACGGCGGCATCACACGCTAGTGCAGCTCAGATGAAAGTGGCCTGCTACACTGGATGACTTCTAGCTCTAAATAACCTGGAGATAATTAAACTGGTTTGATGAGTTCTCCATTTAAATTGTTGTCCTAATTATAAGGAACGGTATTTACAAAAATTTACCTGTAATAAGAATTCTCCTTCATGAAGGCTCAGGCCATCCCCAAATTTTGTCCCGCAGTTATCCTGGACTCCATTCCTGTCGGCTGGGGAAGACTTTAATGCAACTATGGTAAAAGGGAAAAACAATGACACAGTAAGCAGTTTTAAAAATACGTGGTTTCCAAAGGCTGTGATGGAAAACCTCTGTGTACCAAACAGAGAAACAATAGATATTGTTGTGTCCTCGTACTATAATGGCAGTAAATAATCCTCTGCCAACGGGTGATTTCCAACTCAGATGACAGATTCTTAAAAATAATTTTTGATGAGTTCACTATATTATTTTTGGCATATAACTTAGAAGTTTCAAAGAACTGCATGGTGCTGCTAGAAATACTCCTCCCATTCTTATCTTCTTACTTATGAGAGTAAGGTCCATCAGAATAGTACCAATAAAAAATGATTTTAATACCTCTATATATTTATCTAAATATCAACGAACTAGTGGTGGTCAGGAGAAAGAATCAACCATACACCTTAATAAGAAATACACTTCCATTAAGTTTAGAATTGTCTAGTTTTAGGGTTAAAAAACCTGTTAGTATTATTATTAGGCACATGTTAAATCTATAAATTGACTCATTATGAGTGATTGTATTTCTGATGATGTACCATTCTATCTGAGAACATTTATGTTTTTCATCTGCTCAGGTCTACCTTCTTTTGTCCCACTAGAGTGTGTTGAAGTTATTCACAAAAAAAGAGTCGCACATTAATTTTTTATGTTTAATCCCAAGTATCAGGCATCTCATGAAGTGAATTCTCCTCCATTACCATCTTCTAACTGCTTGTGGATAATATACATGAAAGAAATGCTGGCGGCACTGTGGAATGCTTTACCCTTGGTAGTGGCATAGTGTAATGCTCGCTCTCCTCTCCTCTCTTCCCCTCCCATCTCTCTCATTGTGTGCGTGCATTTGTAACCTGGGAGGCAACAGAGCTGAACTGAAATGATAACTACCATTTACTTATTTAGAATTTTTCCAAGCACTCGCAAATATTATCTTATTTAAAAGCGTGTGAGTGCGAATGTATGAACTCATAGAATTAAGTTCAAATCTTGGCTCGGCCACTTAATGTGTGAACTCTTACAGCCTGTCTTCTAATATGTGAAATGGTAGCCGAAAAAACAAACAAAAAACCATTCTGCACCCTGGCCTGGCCCAGTGACTCAGTTGGCTGGAGTGTTCTGTACACCAGATGTAACTATCCTGTACACCAAAAGGCTGCAGGTTTGATTCCCAGTCAGGGCACATACAGGAGGTAACTGATAAAAATTTCTCTCTCTTTCCCCCTCTCCCTCCCTCCCTCCCCCTCTCTCCCTTCCTCTTTCTCTAAAATCCATTAAATATATTCTTGGGTGAGGATTTTTTAAAAAATTCCCATCCTACCAGATTGTTGTGAATAATAATGGGAATATATGTGAAGTTCCTGGCATACAGCAGCTCAACCATTCAATAAATGGAAGCTTCAATGATTGGCTATATTTCCCAGAGCTTATGGGCTAATTATAAATTATAACCTTTTAGATACAGCCACAATATCTTCCCATTTTTCTATTCTCTTTTAACCTGTTATATTTAAATAAGAGAAACCATTAAACAAAACTGACTTTGCCATTACTTTCAAGACTTCTTATTTCATTAGATTTTTATTTCAGAAAGATAATGAGGCTTGGTGAAGAACCGGAGGCTTATTAATAACCAGGCTTTCTCTTGGTCTGAGCAAAGCATCACGTATATAACCTTTTCTTGTTTGAAGTGTATATTCTGGTGAATTATCAAGTGCATGTGTCACACGGGAATCTTATGCCAAGTTTTCACCTTTGTGGAGTTTGAAACATGTCCCTTTTAAAAGAAAAGGCCAAAATCTAGCCCCTGAATATAACAATTTCAAAAGACCAGAGAACAGATTTCCTTAGGCCAAAAAAATAGTTTGAGGTAAATTAATTGACCTAACAGTTAAGACCGAAGGAAATGCTTAATCTTTTCTCATTTAAAACCAGAAAAGAGAAGGGCCTTTTCTCCCTATCTGTTCTATAAATTTGTTGCTGCTGCTTGCTTTCTAACGGCTGAGTTTGCTTGAATGCTCTAAAACCTCACAACGTCAGGGTTAATAGCACTCCAGTACTTTTCCAAAATTTCTAGTATGCACTGCAGCACAATTTAAGAGTTATACCAGATATCAAAAAGATGTGCCATTAAAATAACAAAACCAAAACCCTTACATTGTAAAACAAACAAGGTAATCTTAAAAAAATGGATATTAACAGTGTCCAACTGAAACTGTCTAAATTATCTTATTAGGAATCTTTTCAAATTAATTTTTGATCAGTGGAACTGGTGTCAGTTCCAATGAGTTATTGGGCCACTGAGGAAATGAAAGGGACCCATCATCTCAGAGTAAGTTACAATTTGTGTCTGGCCTTGTACTGGGGATATGAGCCCATTTAATTAGACATTAGACTGCCCTTATGTAGGGAATCTAAGTTATAGAAATAAAGAACTAGAAAAGAACGTCAAAAATATTAAGGACCAGAATTAGATTTAATTAAAGTATTAGAGGGAGTTGAAAGAGAGGAAAGAGAGGAAAAGAACAAATTCTTTCTAAGCAACAATGCCTATAATTTCTAAATGTTGGAAGGATAATATTTAATATGTGTAACTACTGTGTAAGTAGGAGAAGTGACAAGTCAAGAAGGATCACTGGAATGTTCTTCCAGATATTTCTGTTGTTCTCATGTTTAAGGTTAATAATCAGTAAATGATTTAAGTAAATATTGTGCAAAGATGAATCCAGGAAGGGTAAACTCCCTTCCTGTTCTCATCTAAAAAAGTACTAATGTGACTTTAGGAAATTTATTTCATGTCCTGGCCTTTCAACCGAAACTACATAATTTATGCCGTCTATGGGGTTTGAACTCTTTCTTGATAGCACACCTACTACCTTTCCCTTCTTAAACTTATTAGAAGCTACACTAATTCTACTCATTTCCAAGCATACATTGCTCGCATTGATTAGAACACAACAGCAGAGGAAGAAAGTGGCCGAAGGGCACTGGTGCCAGTGTCGCTCCCTAGCACCTCAGTGGCCTTCACTAATTTCCTTAGTAGTAATGAGATACCTACTGAGCACATATTGTATGCCAAGCAGTTTCCATGTATTATATCTTGTTTAATCTTCAAAATAGTCCTATGAGACTGGACATTCTTGACCTTTCAACATGTTAGGAAACTGAGACTTAGCGAGGTTAAGAGACTTTCCCAAGGTCACAGAGCTTTAAGTGGCAGAGCCTCGATTAAAAACCCAGGTAGCCTGGCACTCAGTGTGTGTGTTATTATTAACCACCTACCAGACTGCTCCCCCTGTGCTAACCACCTGTGACCTTTTGCTTCTTTATCTTTAAATGAGGACAGTGATAACTCTGGAGACAAACTCTTCTGAGGGCTAAAATAACGTGTAGCGTATCTGAGTAATAATACCTGGAGCCTGTTACTGACAGTCAAGGAGATAATGGGCTACAAGGCTGAGTGGACACACCTTCAGACCACGAAGGAGGGCTGACTCGAAGGGCACAACAGGAATAACAGTCTTTTCTCGCCTCTCAACACACAGCATTAAGGACCATCCAGCAGGACTGCTGTGATGCCTACAATATTTCTACAACAAAGACTTGAAAGTACTTCAAAATAGTATATTGTTATAAAAATTATATGCCCAAACAGACACAGAGGACATTTGTAACATTACACCACTAGAATTAAATACATGACAGTTCATAGATTCAAAATGTAATCTCTGAAAAAAAAAATCACCCGCTGATTCTGCTACTTGGGAAGCATTTGATGTACTGAACATTTGTTAAAGTCCCTTCTGTGGGAATACTGCGCCTTTTGAAGTATAAAGATGGGACACTGAACAGTCAGTGGAATATTCAGATAATAAACTAAAAATATTTCAGCTATTTCTTCATTGAGAAACTGATGAAGCAATGACACAAGTAATAATTTAATTGGTGATGGAATTTAACTGTAAATATATTTACAACATTATCAAATTGTCACATTACAGACTGATTCAAGTCTTATTCCCACATGCATTTAACGGTATCCATATTGCCTAATAGGGCACTTCTCCCTTCTTATACATCTAAGCTCAGATTCCCATTGTTCCCTACCAGCTAAATAGTTCCTCTTCCAAACTAATGCTCTGAATTGCTAGAGACAGAAATGCATGAGGAAGAAATATTGGCATATGGTAAGCTATATTTTGTATTTTGTGGCTATATAATTTGCATTTAAACAGGCTGATGACATGATAAATGTCTTGTTTGGGAAAAGCTTTTTTAATCTCTAATTGTTAATATAAATTCAATTTATTTTAAAAAATACTTATCCTTTATTACTTTTGCAAGGAAATTTCATTCCCACATTGATGTAAACATAAAAGAGAGCAAAACAATCACTTACTATAAAATTCAACCAACTACATAAACTTTTATAAATTAAATAAGGTTGAGTAAAGTAGCATTTCTGAGCTATAAGGAAAATGTTTTTAGTGTAGTCTGGAATGGATATTTCTAAATAAATTCCAAAATAATATATTAAATGTACCTAAAAAGAGTTTCTTCTATATACGTTGGGGTAAAAGATATTTCATTTCAATACATGAAGTTTTCTTTTGTAAATGAAGTATTCTTCTTTTGCAGGAAAGAAGCAGCTGAATTTTCATTTTCAGCTGAAAGTTCAGCAACTGAAATTATATTCTAAGTATCTAGGAGACAAAGATTAGGTCTACATAGTTCAGTACTTTCTGATGCTATTGGCAGATTATAAATTTCTAGGCATAAAAAAATCACTAAAGGAAAATAAATTCAGTTTTTTAAAATGTGACTAAGAGTCTATCTGTATGAATGAATGTAGGTTGCATAACTGGTGGTTACTATCTTTCTTAGCAAATCTTAAAAAAAAAAAAAAAAAAATCCTGCAGCTGAAAAAGTCCTTCAGTCTAGACCTACTCCTACTCTTAAGTGGATACTGACTTCCAGTAATGTTACTTAACTTTT